TAGTCCCATGGCCCAGCTCCATTGCTACCTGCGGTTCCGAGCCGGTGATAATCAGTCATAGAGGCGTTTTGTAGGGTAGTATAAATTATTTTTTAAAATGTTTTTTATTTAAAAGTATATAATTTTTTTAAAATTTATATATAATTTTTTTTTAACATTTCCCAACCGTCCATGACCTCCTCTCTTAGCCCTTAATTTATGATAGTTTATTTTTTATTTTTAAAAATATTAAATTAAAATTCTTCAATTAAATTTTTTATAATTTCAATGTTGTAATATAAATATATATTTTTTTAAAAAATATTATTTGATATTTACTTTTAAAACCTAGATGCACCAAACACATTAATTAAAAAGGAGACAGAATAATATTATTTGATTCGATTTGGTAGCATGCGGCGTAGGTTGTCCAAAATATCTCATGTTTAATTTGCTGTCCATAGTATAAAATAGCAAGATCTGGGGAATCCTAATTTATCTGGTTTATTATATATTTACTTCGGCACAAAAACTCAGCAACTCAATTGATATGACTTCAAAATTAAATATAAAATAAAGAATAAAAAGAGGACTTTTCAAGCACATTTGATTTTATGACTCCAATTTAGCATCAAAATATCTCGTCTTTATTATTAAATCACAATTAAACATCATCAGCCTATGCAAATATAGCATTACAGCTGCATGAATGCCTCCATCGTAGAACATTCTTTTCAGTGTCAAATTATAATGAAGCTTGAAGAAGAAATCATCACTAATTACTTTGTTTCTGGCACCTCCTGGTTGAATCTTTATGGGATGCGGGTTTTTTCCTTCAGCCAATTGTTAAAATGTCACGCATGCTCATTCCATGCCATTGCCAGCACTGATCATTTGCTATTTTTTTATTGAAACCTTTCAATTAAGGTTTACAATTTTTTTTTAAAAAAAACGAGGGCCGATTAGCTGAACTGTTCAAGGTAAATATGGGGTGTTTAATTATCATAATTATTTCCAATCCGAATGTGATGGTTAAACACATAAAACAACGACTTTGGAGTATTCGGAATATTTTTATTGTGGTAAGGGGTAAGTTAGTGTAGCTAATCCCCAATCCTGTTCCAGCACAATAGTCCACCAAGACATCAATTTCTAATCAAGATCACAACGAGAAAAAAGAAAACAGAGAGATACTATATTCATTATTTATCATATACATCAACATAAGATACGTAATTCAATGAAAAAAGTAATCCAATATAGTCTCTGCCTATGAGTATGAACATAGG